GTGGACTTACACAGTAGCGGTGCTCAGCTATGAAGCCATATGTGTTAGGAACTAAAGCCCTTGCCCTTGGTCCAGGTGTCGAGGAACCAGATGTGATATGATACAATCAAATGTCAGGGGCTGGGGCTGGAGATGGCTCAGTGGTTAAGAAAACACACTGTTCTTACAGAGGGCCCAAGTTCAGTGCCCAGTACCTAAGTAACTCCAGCTGCAGGGTACCCAACAGTCTGTTCAGGTCTCTGTAGGTATTGCTCCCATATGCATAACCACACACATATCCACATAATATAAAAGTAAAATGTTTTTAATTGTCTTTCTTCAGGTAAAGAAAAAGAGAAGAAAATAACTGTTGGGTACTGGACTAAAAAAGACAAGAACAGCTGGATGCTGTGACTTTAATCCCAGCACTTGAGAGGCAGCGGCAGGTGGATGTCTGTGAGTTTGAGGCCACCCTGGTCCACAAAGAGTCTAGGCCAGCCAGAGCTTCATAGTGAGACCCTGTCCCCCACTCCCAGGAAAAATGACAAATGTCAGTCGCTTGCCTCATTCAATGTTGCATGGTTTATTATATGGATGACATGAAATCATCTCAGGATTATTGGGGAATATTTGGGCATTATAGTCCCTGGGCTTCCAAGAGAGATATTCACTAGACATTAAAAAGTGGCTCTCATAGGTACCCAACATTTTAAAGCTTATGTTTACCCAACTATGATTGCATCAAGCCAAAGAAAGGTCAGTGAAGCAGAAAGTGTTATACTCATCCCACAGTGGAGTAATGGGCTCAGAGAGGCTAAAGGTTCTGCCCAGGACCACACAGCTGAGAAACTGATAGGATCTGAATGCTGTTTGCTTGCTCTCAGATCCAGTGCTTCTAACCACAGCAGCTGGAAATCATCAGGTGCCCCTGCACACTCATCAGGTGCCCCATGCACGTGCCCCTGTGCACCCCTCAGACACTCCTGTGCACCTGTGGGGTATCCCTGTGCACCCCTCAATTTCCCCTGTGCTGTAGGAGCACGGTAGAGGAAGTAGGTGGGGCAGACACTGATTTCCAGGGGGTATGGGGTACCCAACAGTTGAGGTGTACCCTGAGAGTTCAGGCGAAAGCCAGGAAAACACAAAAGACATGAAGGGAGATACGGGTTACTGCCACCTGTTGGGGCAGGGCCTGAATACCTTTGCTCCTGGACACAAAGGTCTAATCCAGGCAGTTCCCTGGTGCCCCAACCTCTCACCTCCTGGGCACGCAGGCACTCATGAGAATGCACACTGGGTGGCCTCACCTGACAGAAGGCAGCAAGGAGCAGCATTTGGAGAGGAGGTTCCTGGACCTGGAGCTTCAAAAAAGCTGCTGGATGCAGCCCTCAGCCTCCTGTAGCTGTCAGCATCTCCGACAACATGGCCCTACTTCACCCTGGCTTCACATGGGCACCACACATCCAACGTCCTTTTCTGTTAGCTGTCCCAGAAATCAGCTCCCCTGCTTTCTGCTATCCTTAGTCAACCCAGACATCAGACTAGAGCTAGTGCGTGGGGACATGGCTCTCCGCATTGTCTCTCAGAATTGAAGCCATCCCTATGTAGACGTGGCAGCAACGGCACAGCTTAGGACTCAACATGCATCCAGAGTCACTCATCTAGTGACCCCCAAGTGCCGTGACTTCTCTAGTGTTAATTCATCCCCATAGCACTATGAAAACTAGGGCACAGAGAGGTCAGAAACCAACCCGCCATCACACAGTCAGCATGCTGGGTGGAGCTAGGATATGAAGTCAAGTGCTCTGGGCTAAATTCCTCACTCATTTGTGTGTAAATGCTCTAGGCAGGGTGTATCTGACTAAGTGGTGACATCAGATGGCCAACCCTGACTATCAACCTGAGGGATCAGGAGATGCCTATGAGATTAGGAAAACACTGAGACAAGCAGATGTGTACACTTGGACCTGTCAGTGGTTTAATCCATCAATGCGCTCCAAATCTAAACAGATCGTCAGGAGCTGGTGGGACCATGGAAGGTGAGGCCTAGAGGACCCTCCAACCGGATTCCAGAGGATGTGCCTTTGTTTTTATTTTGTTTTGAAACAGGGTTCATGTAACTCAGGCTGGCCTCAAACTTGCTATGTATCTAAGGACAACCTCAAACTTCTCTTTCTGATTCCATTTACCAAGTGCTAAGATTACAAATATGTGTCCAAGTATACCCAGCTGTGGACAGCCCCCTTGGGCTACTCTTCTTGGCTGCCAGGGGTAAGCTGTCTCCTCTTCTACATGTTCCTGCCTGGAATGTTCCGCCTCACCTCTAGCCCAAAGCAATAGAGCCAGCCCCACCATGAGCTGAAACCTCTCCAACCAGGAGCCAAGATAACTCAGGTGTGGTGGCGCACACCTTTAAACCTAGCACTTAGGAGGCAGAGGCAGACAGATCTCCATGAGTTCTGCCAGCCACAGATACAAAATGAGAGCCTGTCTCAAAAACCTCCCCTCCCCCCATATGTAGTTCTTGGTTATTTGTCCCAGACTGATGAACACTCTGCTCTGGATGGTCCATGCACTGTTGGGGTCACTCATTCCATTGTCTGCCTAGTCAGTGTCCCTGCCTTAATGTTGTGTCCCCTGTACTTGGCAGATCTCAGTACACCGGGGCTCCTCTCCTTCCAGCCTGTGTCTGCTGAGTGAAACCAGGCACTGTTAACTCCAGAAACAGGCTTAGAGGTTGGCCTGAAGAAGGACACATAGTCCAGATCTCCTACCTTCACAGCAGACAATACCTCTATCATTCATTCTTCCTAGTGATTGTGTCCAATTATTAGTAAGGAACTACAATCATTATGTGACTAATGAGCATCTGGGTTCTTGACATTTTTGCAGGCCATTGTCATGAAGTCTTCCTGTAAGTGTCTCACAGCATAACCCCTACCTCAAGATGGTTAGACCTGCATGCATGAAATGTGAATCCTGCCTGCTCATCAGTTGTATGGGTGGCCAATCTGCCACCCTTTCTAAGGCAGGAGAGTGTCTGTGCTCTGCACTGTGTGTTCAACAGTAAAACTCCCCAGACATTCCCCAGAGGTTACTACAACGGTTCCCAGCGGTGCCTAAGCTGGGAATTAGGTTTGTTTCCCTGTGCTGAGAAAGCCCGTCTGGGCCCCAGTGCTCATGTCAGAGCTCATCCAGATGTTCACACAGAGAAATAGGAGGTGGGCAGTGAGCAGCTGCAGCCCAAAGTTGCCTTCTGTCACTCACTGGGAAGCCAGCTGCTGCTCAACCCAAGTGGGAATTTCCTAAGATAAAGCCTAATGAACTCGGGAGGGACTTTTCATCAAACAAAACAGAGAAACGGAGAGTAGAGCAGATCCCAGGGTGACCGAGGTTCTCCAGTCTACCCGTTGCTTATCAGAGGAGGAAACCGAGGCCCAGAGATGCTGTTACTGGTTCAAGATCACAGAACAGCAGTAAAAGCAGTGGTGGAACCTGCCCAAGCCAGGCATTCTAACAGAGCCCAGAGCCATTTGGATCAAAGCAGGGCACACCTACAGGTTCCACCAACTGCCCAAGTCTTTCTTCAGTCTCCAGGGCTTTTGAAGATGAGGAAAATTAGGTTCCCCCTCTGAACAGAAGTCATGAACTATCTACATGACTTCAGGTGCCATCACACTTCCTGTGGGAGTGTTGGAATTCTTCTCCATCTTTTCAGACCAAAAGGAATGTTACCCTCTATGAATGTGTTTCTGGATCCCCAGGGCAGTAGGTTCTCTGTTCAATGTTCTGGTCCTGACCTTGCGCCAACACTCAGGACACTTGATGGTGGCTGAGGCTCTCTTTCCTGAAATGCAGACCTGTACCACAGTCATCTTTATAATCCCAGCAGACCACATTAGCTAGAAAGGGATGACTCTGAGTAAAACCTCCTGAGGTGAACTAGTCTGCACCTAGCTTGCAGCAGAAAGTTGAGCTGGCTGCTGCTGTAGGACCAAACAGCGTGAGAAGATTCTAATCTCGGATCTGAAGGGCTTTCAACACACACTGCGTAGAGGTGCCAAGTAGGCCAGGCTGCCAGGGAATGGGCGTAAAGGCAAACCATGCTATTCCCCATGTGGAGGGTTCCAGGGCTGCAAAGTGACCTTACCCAGTATAATGACACTGGTCTTCAGCATTCTGTCTGTGAAGCCTACCTCTCTCCTTTTGCTAAGGAGACAACTCTCAGGCCTGGCTGACCCAGACCTCAGGATCCAAGGACAGAGAAAAGAGTAAGGCAGGCTGAAAGATATCTGTACTTAGGACAAAGGACTTATGTGAAATAGCCAGAGACATTCCAGTTATGAAATGCCTCCTGTGAACATAATTCAAGAAAGGACAGAAAATGGCCCCAGTCTGGGCCAGCGACGTGGTTCATGGGTAAAAGCAACTGATGCCACATCTACAGGATTAGGCTCCCCCAGGTTCACATGGTAGGAGAGAACTAACTCCACAAAGCTGTCCTCTAAACTCTACATGTAGCTTATGGCTCATGTGCACAAACACATGTATCATACACACAATAAGAATAAATAAAGTTTTAAAAATAGGGTCAACAAGGTGACTCCTGGGGAAAGGCACCTGCTGCCAAACCTGAGTTTGATCTGAAAGTCCTACATGGTAGGAGAGAATTAACTTGTGCAAGTTGTCCTCCGATCTTCACATGTGTGCCGTAGTGCATTTGAGTGGGTAGCATGCCCGTGCACAAACACACACACACACACACACACACACACACACACACACACACTCACTCACAAATTTAATTTAAAAGTTAAAGTTAAACCAGGTGGTGGCTTTAATCCCAGCAATTGGGAGGCAGAGGTAGGTAGATCTCTGAGAATTTGAGGCCAGCATGGTCTACAGAGTGAGTTCCAGGACAGACAGAAAGGTCTTGAAATCCCTGCCCCCATAAAAGTTAAAGTTAAAAAAAATTAAATTTAAAACAAATACAGAAAAGAAACACACCAAACTCCATAGTGTGGGATTCCATTATCTCCAATGTACTTTAATTTGCTTGTTTACACATAGACTCTGTGTATACATAACAGTGGCATGAGCCATTCTCTAAATACAGTCTGGTACCCAGACAATGACAGACGCACATGGAAGTGAGTGAGCAAACCTCCACACAGGGAAGCAAGACAGCATGGCCCGACTTTGGTCAGACACCCCAAAGTCTCATGTTTTACACCTAGGGATAACAAACACGCTAAAAGATGACATGAGACTATTTCAATGTGAGACCCAAGCCCTGAGTGCTCCCCCCAAAATGTTAACTTCTCTGCTTTCTCTAGAAGAGCTGGACCATTCTAAATGCTGTCAAGAGAATGACTTGGAGATAATAGCCTGGTTAGCACACATGCTCAGCACCTGACATATTACTTTCTTTAGTGCTAAAAGAATTGCCCCCACTTTACAGACAGAAACAGCAAGGCTTGCACTCTGGTCAGGTAGGTTGAGAGTGATGCCAACATTCAAACCTATATCTCATGGTTGCGCAAGCCTAAACACCCACTCATGCCATGCTTCCTCACACAGGAGGGAAGGCATACTCCTGAGAAGGCAAGGGTTCTGAAGAACTTGGGGTATATATAGCCCAGGCATAGATGATTTACCCAGTATGCACAAAACCCTGGGGACTGAGAGAGGAAAGGCGGGGATTGCCAAGAATGAGCACATGTAAGCTAATCCATCTAATATGTAGAGAACACTGAGCAACTAAGAGTTCCCACATGTAGTCAGTTTAAAGTAAAACCTGGTCAGACCCCATGAGAAAAATGCCTGGGGCCTTAATGTGACAATGGCTGCACCCCATGGCTGTTTCCTTCTGTTGTGACGTGAAGCCTGACAGACTATCTGGTGACCAGGTCTGCCATCTCCCCCAGGCCCATTCCTATCCTGAGGAGAAGGGTGGAAACATCTTTCAGTCCATTGTCAACTCATCAAAGCCCCACAGCGACCCCTCATTCTTCCCCTTTGGTAACAACATCTCACATCTTACATTGTCAATGGTTAAGTTGACCTGTAGCTCAACAGGTTATGAAATACACACTTTAAATATGTCCTTATATTACAAAAATTACTTAGTAGCCAGATGCGGTAGCTTTAACATTAGCACATCTTCAATATCAGCACTAAGGAGGCAGAGGCAGGCAGATCTCTGTGAGTCTAGGAACAGCCTGATCCACACAATGAGTTCCAGGACAGCCAGGGCTGCACAGTGAGACCCTGACTCAAAAAAATAATTTTTTAATTAAATAAAAAAATAAATTAAAAGAAAGAAAGGAATTACTTTTAACCTACTAAGCATCTAACAACCTGAGCTAGAGTCAGCACAGGCAGGCCAAAGCTTACCAGGCAGTCATTCCCCAGCTCTGCTGGGGAAGTGGCGTCAAAGCAGCTACAAGGGTGATCACCCAAAAGACTGAGGCTCAGTGTGTCAGGCTTAAGAGATCACCTGGGAGAGGAAGAGGCCCTCTTATCAGAGACTGGAAGCTTGCCATGTGGGACATGGGTGACAAGACTTCTAGCCCTAGCCAGTCTCAGCGAAGGCTACATAATGACACGGCTGGAAGCTGGGAAGTGGTGCAAAGAGAATGTCATGGCGATTGAATGCCCCTCCCCTTTTAGGGTTGTTCTGTTGATGGGGCAAGGAAAAGGAGGCGGAGTCAAAGTCATGCCACTCTGTAATACAGACAACTTTGCAGGGCGGCCGTATGTAATACGGCTGGTTTCTTGCATCAAAGGGAGACACTCATTTCACTTCTGAATTATCATAATCTTCTCCAAAGGTAAAAGTTCCTTGTCTGTGGTACTTGTCCTCTGATCCTATGACCCTGAACCCTATTCTGTGTCTACCACCAGACCAGCAGAGGGGCAGGACAGTCTGAGTACCAACAAGCACTTCACAGAATTGCTCTCTCAGCTCAAAATTCATTAAGTAATGAAATGTCGGCTTTCCAGTTTTATTCTTGCTTTTTGTTTGTTTGTTTTGTCTTATTTCTTTGAGACAGGATCTCACTCTGCAGCCCTGGCTGACCTGGAGCTCAACATATAGACCAGGCTGGCCCCACACTCACAGAGCTCCATCTGCCTCTTCCTTCTCAGTGCTGGGGTTAAAGACATGCAGCACCATGCTCCCGGGATCCAGCTTTATTCTTATAGAGCAAACAATTCTACGAGGTGGAATTTAATGCAATAAGTCAGGAGTTTGGTTTATAAAAAGTTAGTGTTCTAAAAAATAAAAACAAAACCCTCAAAACAATTTTTACATGCCAAAGAGCAGTCCTGGAGCTTTGTCAACAAAGAACAAATGTCATGGTGACAATAAAAAACTACACAGCACTCACTCAGGGGAGAAGAGAGGGAAATGGGGTTCTTTGTAACTTCTCCAAAACCCTACACATAACAATAGACAGTGTAGACAGAAAAATCTTATCATTGCTCACTACATAAAAATCATCCAGGCACTGCAGGGTGTGGCCTCCTGTTGGGAGCTGGTCATAGCCAGGTACAACTGTCAATATTCCAAAGAGTGTGTTTTAGGCATCGGGATGTTTAAGAACCTGCCAGAGATAAATGCTCATCTTAGGATCAGTCATTGGGAAACACTGTTAAAAGGACAGCATTAATGTGGTCACTAACCTATCAAGAGAACCAGAGCCAGGGAGACCACAGCAGAGAGTCCTATAGCTCTGGTTTCATCTTGACCATACCATGAGGCTGTCTACTGTCCCTCTGCTGAGTCTTAGCTCTCCCTCTGGAACAGATTAAGGTCACATTTTGCCATAGATGAGAAGTATCTGACAGGAATGGTGTTGCTGGCAACACGGGTGGCATCACCAGCAAAGTCTGAGGACTGAGCATGTTCCCCAGACTCCACCCACTACAAAAGTGCCTGGTAAGCATCCTCTCCAAAGTGGGAGCCATAGTTCAGCCAGTCACTGGGCACAGTAGGTGGGAAATCTCTCAGCCGCTGTCCCCATGTCCCCACGTGTTTCTCTTTATTTCTTGTAAGTATCTTGCTTCAAAGTCAAACTGGAGCTCTGGGGAGGAAGCCCTGGGGAGAAGGACTTCAGGTACCAGTACCCGTATGTCCCATACCAGCCCAGCAAACCAAAAAAGGTGCCGAATACCTTCTGCATCAAGTCATGGAAATAAACGGCCGTGCACAAAAACATCCAGACCCAGATGAAGGTCAGAAAGCCCAGGGCGACAACCAGAGTGGTGATGGCAGTGTGGAGGTGGTGGCCGCGATCCGTCTTCACCTCATCCAACACGGCCATCTCCTCCACGATCATGAGTGCACAGAAGGTCAGCAGGAAGGAGTGGCCTGAGATGTCAAAGCCGTGCCAGAAGCCCCCTTCCCGGTGGCATTGCTGCTTGCTCCGATGCTCCTGTCTGATGCCCTCCAGGGCTGGGGACTGGTAGCAGCTGCCCGTGTAGTGCTCAATGTTGGAGAAGAGGGCTGTGCAGACATACCAGATGGCCGTGCCCACCAGCAGGGTGCTCAACCGCCGCAGGACCAGGCCGGCCTTGCCCGTCAGGTGGTAGTTGGTGAGGGCAATGAAAGGCAGAAGGAGACAGACTGTCCAGGCCCAGGCCAGTTTAACAAAGTACCTGATAGAGGAGGGAAGTGCAGGTGAGGAGGAGGCATCAGACAGGAAATCGGGTCACCATGCTTCAGGTATCTAAGGTCCCAAAGGAAGTTAAATGAAACTGATCAGAGCTGTCCACCCAAACAGCTACCATGTTCGAATCCTTAAAACACGCTAACACATGCAGTGACATTAGCTCATCCACAACTCTGTAAGGTGACATGGAGCCATATAGAACTGCCATGCCAAAGTGGAGGTGATAAGTGGTGGCCTTTGATTTCCTAGCTGTGCTATTTGCTCAGGAAAGCATTAACTGAGCATCTATCAAATGGCAGATGTGTTCACACACTCACTTCCACAGAACACTCGCAATTAGCTGAGGAGGAAGCGGTCATTTGTCTGTAAGTACGGCCCAGGCTGGCTTCATCCTGCCTGTGTAGCTGAGGCTGGTCTTGCACTACGGATCGCTCTGCTTCCCCATCCCTAGTGGCGCGGTTACAGGTATGTGTCACCACACGCAGTTTTATGTGGTGTTGGGGCTCAAACCTGGGAGGCACTCTGTCAGCTGATTAGTACCCCAGCCCCCATTTGTCCCTTTTTACAGACAGACTCTGGGGGCTCAGAAAACGGAATACTTCGCCAGGGCCACACACATAACAGCAAACGCACATGGAGACACACTTTGCTCAACCCCAAAGCCCTTCTCTACCACACCAGTGTTCTTTCCTACAGGCTGGTAAGTCTTGTAAGAAAGAGCTTTACTTCAAGCCACACGACCAGGGTTCCAATCCTGCCTCTGACTCTATGTGTTACTGTATCTTCCCTCAGCTCTTCAGCCCAGGGCACCCAAGCAGTTTTCAAAATGTCTCCCAGATTCAATGAGTCACTGCCAGTTCCCTCCCACTAATCAGCGCCAGGTCTTGAAACAAAAATTAACATCCATGGCTACCCCTAAACAACACACTAGTGTGCCAGCATGTCGGGCTCCTGGTTCTTCAGGCCAGATAAGACAACAGTTGCCATGTCTGCCTGTGCTCACGAAGGGTGGCCGATCTGGGAGTGATCGCCAGAAGACACACAAAGATCTCCGGGGCAACTATCACGCTCACACTCTATTCTTAGCCCAGCCACCAAGTGGGTAAGGATGAAGGTGGGCCAAGGACAGAAGCCTCTTCCCTGGGTTCCAGTGGTTCCTCAGAGCCACCAAAGAGCCTGTCACTGCAGCCTTCACTGGCATTGATAAGGAGAGCCTTGCCAAAGCCAAGGTCTGCCAGAAACCTGATCCAGCTGCCAAAAAAGAAAACAGGCTTTTAGGTGCATAACAAGAGTTAGACTCTCAGTATGCTGGAAACTCTAGTCTTAGGCTCACTCGAAGGAGCAGGAGCGACTTCAGCTTCCAAACTCCCCGTTCTGCTGTAACGGTGTTTTGTGCAATAAACTTTCGATATAAGTATTTTAAAAGACTAGGAAACAAGCGGGTGGAGTTGGAGCGATGTCCCACAGAGGTCCGCTGGGGTTGCTTTCCTGGGCAACTGCCATGCACTTTGGATGACTGAGAAAGTTCAAGGAGATGCAGGAGAAAGGTCACCGGCACGAAAGGCTTCACTCTTCTGCTAACATACGGCCGGGAGGGGAGAAGCTCTCAGGGTGATGGGTGGGTCTAGATAGAGGTGGGCTTTAAGACAACGGTGGGATTTCTGTCACAGGGTTTAGGAGAGGGGTGTCTGACAAGCCCGCAGAAGGGAGGTGACATCTCTCCAAACAGGACGGGGGCCAGCGCCTAACTGGGGCGGGCGGGCGGGGGGGGGGGGGGGGGTTGGGAGGATAGCAGCTCCAGCGCACCTCAGACCCAGCCACGTACAACCCACCCCGCCACCGACCCGCCCGCCCATCACCTCGGCCCTCCTCTCGGAACCCTCAAACGTAAGGCGCGAGTGTCACTCGCTTTCCCAGGGTCCCCGCGTCGCCACACGCGCGCGGACGCGGCTGTCAAGACTGGGATCCCTCCCGATGACTCGCCTACCCAGGCAGCGAACCCGCTTCTTGGGGAGCCGGGGCCCGGAGTCTGGAGCACTCACACGTTGAGGACGTTGCGCTTGTTGCTGAGGTAGCACTCGGGCAGCGGTGACAGCTCCTTGAGGATAGAGCCCGCCAGCATGGCGGCCACCAGCGCCCAGGGCAGGTAGCGCCGCACCGCCGCCCTCACCAGAGTCCCGCGGAGAAACCACGCGCAGCGCTCCAGATGCTCCATGCCGGACCTTCTCGGCCACCGTCCGCCTCCACGAACCCTCTCGGCCACCGTCTTGCCCTACGCTCAGACTGGTGCCGCCACTTGCCTCCGGGCGCATGCGTGCTTCCCGCAAGCTCCGCCCCCTCTAGTGCTCCCTCTAGTGGCCATGAATGACCTCTGCCGAGTGCAGGTCTGTAACTACCTGCGCCGCTCTTCCTTCTCCAACCTGAGCGCCCCCAGGCGGCATGCTGTGAGTACTGCAGGTTGCGCTCAGCCGGGGCAACCTGCTTGTGCAAGCTTTTGCTAGAGGTTGGAGAAGAATAAACATAGTTCAGTAGGAATTAGATCAGCGGTAAGAGCATCATTTGGTTTCTCGTAGACACACCTCCATGGGATTCTTGCTTTTCTTACCTGCAAAACAGAAACAAGGGATCCATCTTTCTTAAGAGCTAGTTTGTGGACTTGGGACTTCCTTATGGTGGTTCAGATATAGGGTTTTGAGATCTTATTTTTATAAATTTTATCGGGAAGTAATCCCACAAAAGAATTACTAACTTTAAATCTTATTGACTTTTGTTTTGTTTTGTAGAGACACGGTTTCTCTGTGTAGTCCTGGCTGTCCTGGAACTCTCTATAGACCAAGATGGCCTTGAACTCAAGAGATCCACCTGCCTCTGCCTCCTGAATGCTGGGATTAAAGGCGTGTGGCACCATGCCTGGCACTACTTTGTGTTTTTTGAGGCAGGATTTTGCTCTGTAGCTCCTGAGGTTCTCTTGCCTCAGTCTCTCAAATGAACTAATCTTAAATTTTCAATTGATAAGTGTATTTGTATTTAAAATGTGGATGTCTTACTTTTAAAATGTGGATGTGACTTTTCTGTTGCTGTAAAGAGACCATGCTCAAGGCAACTTACAGAAGAATTTATTGGGGGCTATTGTAGTCATTGTTTGCTGTGAAGAGATACTATGATGGATGCACCTCATAAAAGAAATCATTTAATTGGAGTTTGCTTTCAGGTTTAGAAGTTTACCCACTATCGTCATGGTGGGCAGCATGGCTGCAGGCATGGTAGGTATGGAGGGCATGGTGGGCTCGGTGGGCATGGCGGGCATGGTGCTGGAGAAGAAGTTGAGAGCTACACCCTGATCCACAGGCAAAGAAACAGTGTCACTGAGCCTGGCATGGGATTTTGAAACCTCCAAGTCTACTCCTAGTGCCATATACTTCCTCCAACAAGGCCATACCTCCTAACCCTCCTATCAAAAAGTTCCATTCCCTTGTGACTGAGCATTCAAATGTATGAGCCTATGGGGGTCACTTGTTCAAACCACCACAGGGGCTCACAGTTTTATCAGTAGTATCTGAGGGCTCGCATCTTGAAACACAACCTCCCGGCAAGAGGGCGGGGGGGGGGAGAGAGAGAGAGAGAGAGAGAGAGAGAGAGAGAGAGAGAGAGAGAGAGCTAACTGGGAATAGGTAGGCTTTTGAAACATCACACCTCCTCCACCAAGGCCACACTTTCTAATCCTTCCCAAATAGCTCTATCAACTGGGGACCACGCATTAAAACGTATGAGTCTAGGGCCATTCTCACTCAAACCCCCACAGTGGCTCTGGAGAGATGGCGCAAGCATGTGTGCTAGTCTGAATGTAATTCGCCCTCTAAGCTCAAAGAGAATGGCACTATTAGGAGGTGGGGCTTTGTTGGAGAAAGCATGGCCTTGTAGAAATAGGTATAGCCTCGTTAAAGGAAGTGTGTCACCGTGGGGGTGGGTTTTGAGGTCTCATATATGCTCAAGCCATGCCCAGTGTCTCAAACCACTTCCTGTTGCCTATACAAGATGTAGAACTCTCAGCTACCTGTATAGCACCATGTCAGACCATGATCAAAATGGACTGAACCCCTAAAGTGTAAGACACCCCAATTAAATGTTTTCCTTTATAAGAGTTGCTGTGGTCATGGTGTCTCTTCACAGCAACAGAAGCCCTAAGACAGCATATAATGGCGCTTGCTACCAAGCCCAATAACCTGGGTTCAATGCTTAGGACCCCCATTGTGGAAGGCAAGAACCAACTCCCACAAGTTATTCACATGCAACAAAACAACTGTGTTGTTGCCTGAGAATCCCTGGGGCTGAGGCATGGTGGAGTTCCCATGAGGTACTAGTGACTCAGTCACTCAGTTTTGTCCCATGTGAAGCTCCTAGCCTGGGAAGCTGGATGTCCACATCAGGGATCCCCGAGCTTGAGTCCTTCCTCAGCCATTGTATCATACAAACTAACACTTAACATCAAGATAAAAGCTCAAACCCATCACTTTCTAATTATTATACTAGGTTTTATTACTATTTATGTTCTTGCTTGTCTGTTTTGAGACACGATCTCATTGTGTGGCTGGCCTGGAACTCACCATGTAGAGAAGGCTGGTTTCAGATGTGCGGCCATCTTCCTGTCTCTGCCTCCTCCTTGGGTGCTGGGATTACAGGCGTGTGCCATCGCACTCAGCTCTCTGTGCGCTCCAGCCTACGCGCTTCTGATGTGCCTGCCTGCTATGCCTCTGTCCTCTTCCCACCCTGTGATGTCACACAAGGGGCCTGAAATCGGCCACAAAGGGAACTGGCAAGTGCCACACAGCAGGGCTTTATTTTGTCATCAACTGTTTTCAGTGGGACATGACTCCTTTTGTCAATGTGTAGTTGAATTGAAATCATAGGTGGACTATGGAAACAAATGTCCAGCCAAAATCAATAAAATTGCAAGCATCAGTGAGTTATATTCACAACAAAGAATACAGTGGGAGTTGGGGCTGTAGCTCAGTTGGTAGAAAGCTTGACTAGCACCCAAGAAGTCCTGGGTTCAAGGCCAGGCATTGCATAAACTGTGTGTGGTGGTGCATGCCTGTAATCCCAGAACACTAGAGGTAGAGGTTCAGCCATACAGTGAGTTCAAGGCAAGCCTGAGATACATGAGACCACCCTTCTCAAAAAAGCAAACAAAAAGTGTGTCATATGTTTCATTGTTTAGAAGTCACATGCACCAGTCTTTGTACTGAGAGAGTTTTATTTTTTAGAAAGTTTATAATAAATCTGTATATGTATACACATATATATATTCTTCATGAGAGCTCATTATATTAAACATGTATCAGCAAACCACTGTTTATGATATAGTACACACATAAGAAACACATGCCGAATAAAGGTGATTATATATGTTAATAGATGTATGATTTTAGATACAACTTCATGACAGTTCATGACAGAACATGCTTCTGCTACATGTGAGGCACTGTGATTTTTTTTTTTACTCAATTACACAACTCAATTTTTAAAACATCCTGATGTGCGTCGCCTATAATCTCAGTACTTGGACGGAGGCAGGGGGAACCTTGCAAGGGTAAGGGCATCTTAGTCTAGATGAAGAATCCTGGGCCTACCTATGTTTAAAAAAAGCTGGTCATGCGTGACCCACTTCTTATTTTATAATACAATTTAATTTTACAATTTAAGATACTGCAGAGCAACGATCTTGTATTTCCCGCCTGAGGGGGACAGAAGACAATAAGCAGGCAGTGGGGTAGAAGGCCCAGCGAGGAAAGTGTTCACCATTCAGGGTTAAGGACTTGCGTTTAGACCGCCAGCACCACATACACAGCTGTGTGCAGTGGTGCACCTTTGTAATTCCAGCGCCGGGACGCAGAGATGGGAGGATCCCTGGGTTCGCTAGCAGCCAGTGTAGCAGAGTCGGTGAACGCCAGGATCAGTGAGAGACCCTGCCTCAAAAAACAGGATGGAGAGCCGGGCGGTGGTGGCGCACGCCTTTAATCCCAGCACTCGGGAGGCAGAGGCAGGCGGATCTCTGTGAGTTCGAAGCCAGGCTGGACCGACAGCCTCCAAAACAATACAGAGAAACCCTGTCTCGAAAAAAAACAAAAACAAAAAAAAAAAAACAGGATGGAGAACAACCGAGGAAGACACTCAACATTAACTCATTAATCTCTGGTCTCTTTATGAACATACATGTACACACGCATGAACACACACACACAGACGACAGACAGGCAGATAGACAGACAGACAGAGCGCACAGTTCTTCCTGAGTCTGAATTAGCACCCGCCACTTTTGGTTTTCATCCTCTGTTTGTCTTTATACTAATAATTGTTAGAAGCATTGTCTCTGTACAGATAAGTGGAAAGATGTCCCATCTTCACTGCTGGAAGAATGAATGTTGTTGCCATGTGCACACTAAAACAACTACAGATGCAAGGCAATCTCTTTGTTGTTGTTGCTGTTTGTTTCGAGACGGGGTTTCTCTGTATAGCTTTGGAGGCTGTCCTGGAACTTGCTCTGTAGACCAGGCTGGTCTCAAACTCACAGAGATCCTCCTGTCTCTGCCTCCCGGGTACTGGGATTAAAGGCATGCACCACCAACGCCTGGCTGGAAGTAATCTCTATTAAAACTCCAATGCCATATTATATAGAAGTAGAAAATATAATGCTAACATTTCCTTTATGTATGTGCTGTATGTGTATATGTGTGTATATATGTGTACATCTGTGTACCCATTATGTGCATGCCTGGTGCCCCCAGTGTCAAGAAAAGGTCATCAGATCCCCTGGAACTGGAGTTACAGATGGTTGTAAGCCACCATGTAGGTCCTAGGGATCAAACCCATGTCCTCTGGAAGAACAATAAGTACTCTTAACGCTGAGACATTACTCCAGCCTCTTAATCCTAAGATTTCTATGGAATAATAAGAACAACAAAAATAGCCAGGGAAGACAAGAGCCAAAACAAAAAAGTTGATTATACCACCTGGTTTCAAACTGTATTACAAAGCCAATAGTAATTAAAACTACGTGGTACTCTATGAAAATATACATATTGATCTCCGGAACAGAATAGACAGTCCAGAAATGAAGAGCTTGGATAGACCTTAGTAGTCCATCCTAGCATGCGTAAAGCCCTGAGTTCCGTCTCTAAGGGTAGAAACATACACCCGCAATCCTGCAATCCTGGTGTGCGGGAGGTGGAAGCAGGAAGATCAGTGATTCAGATTTGAAGCATTATTTTAATTAATCTTAGCAATAAAAATCAGGAGTCAGATATTGAGCTTAAAAACCTGCAGGGTCAGAGAAGC